GGAATCCGGCGCCGCGGAGGCCGCGGCCACCCACGCGCGTCGGCTCCGCGACGTGGCGTTCCTGCGGGATCGCTGGCATCGCGCCCTGAAAGGGCATTATGCGGCGTTTTGGAAACGCCTCGGGTTGCTCCCGGAGCGCCGCGATGCGGCTCCCGACGGCGCCGACGACTCGCTCTTCTCGTTGGATTTAACGCAGGCGAGTGTGTTTGATCTCCTCGCCGCGGATCGGGTGGAGCCGCTGACGGCGTCGCAGCAGGCCGCGCTCCGCGTTATCGCGTCTCTCCAATCACTTGACAAGAAGGGCTGGTTTCGGGTCCCCGCGTTTGATCTTGCGAATTTCGACTTCACGAGCATCGCGTATTGGATCCAAAGCCCCAGCTTTGCGCTGAAGTCGAACCGAGGGGCTTTCGATGCACTGCGGCGAGTTTTGGAGCAGATGGTGGATGCATGTGTTCGAAAGTATGGACCTTTGCACGAGTTTAGTGAGTGTATTTCGTCGATTCGACAGCAGTTGGTTGATGTGGCTCGGGCGGAGGGTCTTTTATAAGTTAATAAAATAAGCCATATTAGACCTCCCAAGGAGGGAGGGAGATTGAACATGTGTATTGTAAAATTAGACCTGTTTAAGGCACATTTTATTATCGTTCCTGAGATGATTGGGATCCTATTTGGATTCTTGTATTGATAGTTCGACTAGTCTCTTACGAAGCATCACTTTTGATCCACTTTTTTTTTTTGAATGCAAGAATTATTGATTTAGAATTGAAGTTATCGTGAGTTTGCTTTTTGGTGTTATTCAGGGAGGGGAACTATACAGATAGCTATCTGTTTTTCCATTCATAACAAATATTAGCATAACAAAAGAAGAGAAGAGACTGCCCATGACGTTTTCCTTCAATGTGATGTTTCCAACGGGGCAAAAGTTTCTCATTTCGGTCTTAGGTCCAGATAACACCGTTGGCGATATTAAAACCAAGATGGAAGAGGCGGATGGCATACCTCGCTCGATGATCTGTCTGGTTCACGCGGGGCGTAAACTAGAGGATGACAGCACGCTCGCAAGCTGCGGAATACAGGCGGGGGTTACAATTAACATGGTCTTGGCTCTTCGCGCTGGTTAAGGAATCTTATTTGCATCTATCTCCCGTTGCATTTATTCTACATGACCCCTTGCTATCAGGGTTTCTATTATTCTTTTCCAAATTCCGCGTAGGGTTGGGAAGGAACAGACAAATTTGAGCTAACCGGTATTAGCTTTTCTTTTTGTTGATATTTACACAAATAAGCAGAAGTTTCAGGGATTCCTTTGAATTGCTCCGAACGGCATATTTTTTATCGAGCAAGCTTTTTGAATTGGATCCTTTTCTGATGTATGACTTTGCTGGGGAAATGCTCCCGCAGGCTTGCTTCTCCGTGATATACTACTGGTGTATAAGGAAAAACTTTTAGGCTAAGATGGTAGGTGCTAAACTACTACTACTCGGCTCATTTTTCTTCGTGCCTCGTTGGATATGCAGACAATGTAGAAGGTAAGATATAACTTAAGAAGAATATTTCAACAGATAATCGAAGCCTTCGTGGCATGAGTGATTTGTACATTTTCATAAGCTTTCTGAACTTTATTACACGCGAGAGGACAAGGAATAAAATCGTTGATAAGAAGATGCTATGCCACCCTGATGGAATCTAAAAACTAAACAACCCCCCTCCCTCAGAAGAATGATGAGGTGACTTTTGATTACGCCATCTCTCTGTCAGTTTCTGCGCAGTGTGCGCTTATGGGTCCACATCACCCTACACCTTTTGATCAGTTCCCTCGTTTGTTTTCTTTTTCATCTACTTTTGTTCTCTAGCTTGTATACTTGGGCTCTGGAAAGTGCTACTTGCATATATAAAACTTAATTTTTCAGGCAAAGTTATACACACCTACACTTATATATACAAACATTGAATGAGAGAGGATTAACATTTTTTTTTTGAAGCATGTTAAAATTTAGTTTCACTCTTGACGACGAATTGGCTTCGAACCTTTGTAATTTCCTGAATACAACCTCCTCGTCGTCTGTTATCGTGACCATCAAAAATGAGGAGATGAAAATGCTCTGTGATCCTATCCCGTCTACTGGTATATTATCATACAATTTAAAACTCCTGCGGTTGGCGCTTCGGCGGTACGACACGAAATTTGCCTACATCGTGATACGTCTACCGAAGGGTCCTTTGTGTTTAGTTATTTACATAGCTGAGAATTCATGCTCTTCTGACTCCATGAAATACCTTTTTGGCGAATCGAATCTTTCCAATAGTTTGAAACCCCATGAGTTCTTCACCGTTCGAGTTCACAGCGTTGAGGAAATCCAACCCAACCTTTTTGAGAATCTTTCTAAAGAGACGAATCACGATGATCTCATGACGGAGTCGGAGCGTTTGCATAAGAAAATTTCTGAGATGGAGGTGGCGCCGCAGGTGCAAACGTTGCCTGTAACTTTGATACCGCTCTCAGAGGGTGCGCGGGACGTGGTGCTGAAGTACGCCGTCGGCCTCGTTGATACGGTAACCTTCATGATAGTAAACAACGAGATCACGGTGGATCGCATTCTGGAGGGTCAGTTTGGGGACTTAGCCGCTCTCAAGGATATCCTTCCTGAAAACTATCATCGGTATGTGCTTACACGCTACAAGATTGACGACTCCGATGAGAGCAAAGATATCATGATCTACATTTGCCCTTTATCGAGTGATGTGAAAGAGCGAATGCTGTACGCATCCGCGAAGGCCGCCTTTATTTCCTTTGCTAACGACCGTGGGATCAATTTTCATCTTAAGAAAGAGGCCGCCAACTATCATGAGCTTGTATCAGTAGTCAAGGAAGCGTTTTCAGATAGTGTAAAGTCGACTGATGAGGCCGTCGAGGTCTGAGCAGGGCTAAGCTGTTCCCGCTTCATGCTTCCTTTGTGTTTTCGTCAATTACCAAAACGGAAATATAAGTTTCCCTTTATGTACTTGTGAGCTAGATTCACAATGGGGGATCCCATTTTGGATATAAAGAAAAGAATACACCTCCTTTTCTCTAGTTCGTGTGTCGTTTGCATAAAAGTATACATTCTTATTAATGTGAACTGCTATTTTTTTTGTTATATACTTTGATGTATTACTCTTATTTTTTTTTATTACTTATTTATACGCTTGCCTATTCGGATATATGTCTCTGAATACATAACTACTTAGACAAGACTCTTTGTGAATGACAACGCATAAAGTGAGAAAGGTATGATCGTAGCTTGGGAAAGCACTGTGTATATTTGAATGATATCTGATATCATGAAGTGTTTCGACGTTTTGTACCTCATTCACTATATATTATTCGTCTTTTTATATATCATCAACGACTCTTGCGTTAATGTGGAAAATTTTTTGAATGCGAGTATATCTACGAGTGTGAATTTGTTAGAATAAATTTTTGCATATCTCCTGCACATATGTTTAAATGCGATACAATGTACTCAGAGGGAAAGCATTATAAAGCAGAGCGCGACGTGTTAGGATGAAAGGAGCGCATCCACATTACGAACCGTTTCTTTATTTGTTTACTCAATGCCCATGTATTACAGCACCATCGCCTTTTGATCCTTTTGTCATATAGGGAGTAAATTTATGAAATAGTCAAATAGAGCCTTGCAATTTGTGTGGCATCCACCAAAATGGATATCAATGCAAGCCCCAATATGCTAGAGGAGCTCTCCACTTTATGGGATACATTTATGTGCCGCACGCCGTCGTCGGATCGCACTTCAGCCTCTCCTGCAGCCGATGAAGGGGAGGGCGGCGACGTGCCCGCGTGGGCGATCCGAGAGGTCTCCCACGCGATCCCGGACCCGTGGGCGTTTCTCCGGGTTTCCCCCCCCCCCCTCCTCGCCCACGCCGCCCTCCCCTGTCACCTCTGGCTGCTGTCGAGGGTGGCGGAGGATCCTCGTCGGATGCCCGGCCTCTCGCGTTGCTTCGAGGGGCTCAATCGGGATTACCTCGCCCTCGTCCGCGCGCAAAGGAGGGAGGTCGAGGAGCTGCGGGAATGCCATCGCCGTTGGCTTGCCTCGCTTCTAGGGGGGGAAGGGGGAGGGGAAGGGCGGGAGCTTCGCGTCGACCCCGCCGTCATCGCGTGGTGCGCGCGACGCGAGGAGGAGGCCGTCAGCCGCCTCGCCAGGACGCACGCGGCGGCCCGCCAACGGCGCGAGGGGGAGCTCCAACGCGCCTTTCACGACCTCCTCGTCGCCGCCGCGAGGGAGGCGGAGCCGCAACGGGGGGCGGGCGAA